TAGAATCATGAAAGTCACCTAGGCCACTAGAAGTATAAGCCAGGATGGATCTAAGGACCTTTAATTATTGCCTCTTTGCAGTGGAATTCAACAAAACACATTGAGCTCTTTTCATGTGTCTGACATTGCGCTAGATTCTGGTCTTATAGAGGTGAATAAACCATCATTCCTATCCTCAAAAAACTTACTGCTTAATAGGAGAGAAACAGGTCTATTAAAAAAATGCTACATAATTTAATAAGCAAAATAGATGGAGGAGACGGGGCAATTCAGCCTGTCGGGCTGATCCAGGAGGTCTGGGGTGGGGAAGTAGTTCAGGCTGAGAAAGCAGTGGTTTCAGGTGTGTACTCAGCGCTGTGGCTGTTCTCAGAATACAAAGTTCAGAGCAGTGGCAGGATGTCTGCCAAAGACCTTGAGTGCTGTGCCTTTTTCTGGAGGGTGGCCAGTGACACATTGACTCTGGGATCTACTAGTACATGCTTGGAGTTAACAAGGTAGCAACTACAGTGTGTAGGTGACTGGAGGGGATAAAAGATTAGAGCAGGGAGACCAGCTAAGAGGCTTTTGCAATAATCAAGGTGAAGGATATTGAGGGCATATCAACCTTAAAGCAAGCATAGCTGGGACCGAAAGAGGAGGAAGGATTCAAAAGATACTTGGGCAGTGACAGTGATAGCACTATCACTCAGTAGGTGTGTGGACCTACTGGGTGTGGGAGGAGAGGCAGTGGGTGGCACTGAATGTGACTTCCAGACTTCTGCAAATTCTGTTCCTGATCTTTCTTAAACAGTTATGGTGATTATCCTCCTAAGGGGTCACCTGTACAGATACGACTTTATAATGGAAACATGACTCAGTCTGGATGTGGTGTAAAGTGAAAGTGCCTCGGAAACTCCGGAACACAGGCACGGAGTAGTATTTCCCAAATGTCACCTTGTAACTCCAGTGCTATCTACTCGCCTGCTCTGAACTGTTTTAAATTTTTTTCCTGCTTCTTAAATGTCACGTGTTATTTTCTCCATCTATTTTTCATACCCTAGCCAAGAAAAAAAAAATAGCACCTGAAATTTCAAGGTGTTGAGAACAGAAGTGCTATGTTGTTACCTTTTATTCTTTGTTTTGCTTCTGAGGTAAGACTGGGCCTGAGGCCAGCCAGGCCTTACATCCACCCGGATCTTAGTTCTCATTGCTGGTGGTGGAAACAGGAAAGTTGGAGGCAAATCTCCCCCTTCCCAGACTTGTGACCCAGTTTTAAAACATTGCCTTGGTGCTATTCATTTCATCAATCATTAGCTTTTTGAGGGTCCAGGTTCTTTAAACTATATATTGCTATTTTTAGTGGAACAGTGGAATGGCAGGAACTTAAAAGGCACAGTAGAGATTTGTTCAAAATATTATTTTCCTAGCTTCCAATGAAAACATGAAGAGCAAATGCATTTCCAGGGTCTCTCTTATTAAGTAACAGTTGTGACCTCAGTTGACAAAAGCAGCTTGAAACAGTATTGAAAAGCGCATACAGTACAACACAACCTTTTCATTCTGGTGTTAGTTTTACAAGAGTTAAGCTGTTTTATGTTTCAGAGTCTATATACTGGTTAGCTATTGATTATACTTAAATCAAATGTTGTAAATATTGAACTGTTTCTTTCCAGGAGAGGGAAGTCCTCTGAATTTAAAGCTCATACAGCTCCAGTTCGAAGTGTGGACTTTTCTGCTGATGGGCAATATCTAGCTACGGCTTCTGAAGACAAATCCATCAAAGTATGGAACATGTATCGCCAGCGCTTCTTATATTCCTTGTGCCGACATACACACTGGGTGCGCTGTGCCAAGTAAGTGCATAAAGTTTCATAAGATTTCCACATTTTCCCTGCCGTAGTCTATGCTTGCCCTCCACCTCCCAGAAAAGGAGTAGTTTTCCTTCTTTTCTTTCTTCCTTCCTCCTTCCCTCCCTCCCATCCAGCAAACATTTATTGTGTGCCTGGGAACACAACAGGGATGAGGATAATGGTAAACAAAACAGTCACAAACTCGTGCTCTCATGAAGCTTACACTAGAGAGGGGAGACAGGCAGCAAACAAATAGGAAAATGGATGTGGTAGGTGAGATGGTGGTAAGTTTTAGAGAACAAAACAACTGGATTAGAAGGGAAGCTGCAATTTTAAGCAGGGTGTTAGGCTGTCCTCACAAAGGGCGGGGGGTGGAGGCAGGGAGAGAACTTTGAGCCGAGACCTAAAGGAAGATAGGGAAGGAGGCTTGACGATACTTGGGAAGACAGGGTCTTGGATAGAGGAGCAAGTGCTACAGCCTTGAGGCTGGAGCCTGGGGGCTGGTTGAGGACAAATAGGAGACTGGTGGGGGCAGAGCTGGGGAGGGAGTACGAGAGATCCAGAGGAAAATCAGGCCAATCAGGAGTGGCCCTGACTTATACCCTGAGAGAGATGAGATGCCACTGGACCAGATTCATTTTCTCAGTTACACTTTAATGGAATCACTAGGAGTGCTATATGAAGAAGAGACTCTAAAGCCAGGGCAGAAGCAAGGAGGTGTTGGGAGGCTGCTGCAATAGTTCCCATCCTGGCCTGGACCGTCCCAGCTGGTGGCACTGGAGATTTTGAGAAGTAGCTGGATTCTAGATGTAGTAGTTTGAAGGTACAGCCAACAATACATGCTGTCACTTTGGATGTGACAGAGAAAGAGAGGGACCAAGAATGACTCCATAATCTTGACATTGTTCTACTGGGAGAAGTGCTGCTATAGGTGTTACTGTCAGCTGACAGCCACGGACAGGGGGACTTATATCCCTACCACAAACAGAGAGCAGAACCCCCCCCCCAAAAGATCTGCCTATGAATCCCACTGAGTCTTTGGTCAAATACAAAGCTGCCTATGCACAGGGGACTGAGGCTTGGCAGAGAACAATTCCTGGGAGACTGTGAGCGGAACAGATTACGTATAAGGGGAGTATCAACAAAAATGATCTCCGCCTTCATATTAAAAAATGCAACCCAGAAGACACTGGGATGACATATTTAAAGTCCTGAAAGAAAAAGTACCCACTGAACTAGAATTCAACATCTCAGCAAAAATATCCTTTAAAGAGGATCAACAAAAAGTTGAAAGAATTTATTACCAATAGACCTGCGCTACACGAATAGTAAATAAAGTTTCTTAGGCTGAAAGGAAATGATACCAGATGGAAAACTGGATCTACTAGTACATAAAGGAATAAAGAGAGCTAGAAAAGGTAAATATGGGGGTACATACTATTAATAGACTTTTTGTTTCTTATTTCTTTGAAAAATGGTTGCTTAATGTATTGTGGGCTGATATATAGATATAAGAGGTGGGTAAATGAAGTATATTTTGGTAAGTTCTAACAGAACTTTTACAAGTTCTGACATATATAAAATGGCATAAAATTAATTCAAGAGTACAGGGTGCTACATTAAGGATGTATATTATAACTTCTAGAGATTACCAATAAAAAAAAAAACACAACATGGACAAAGAATAAAGCTAAAAAGCCTGCAGAGGAAATAAAATGGGATACTACGAAATACTCAATTCAAAAGAAAAGCAGGGAAAAGAAATAAACAAATGAGATAAATAGAAAACAAAGAGCAGAAGAATTTATGAAAGGTTGAAAAGTCACCAATTAAGTGAAATTTTGGTCTTCAAAGTATTCCCTTAGTAAGCATAATCCCCAGTCTGTATCACATATCTGTGCTAGGTCTAGAGCCTCAAGGAGCTTTTACAGTTCAAGGGTAGGAATAAGATGCCAAATAATTATAAAATGGTGTGTCCTATGAGAAGGTGATACACAAGATGATAAGGGAATCTCTGAGTGGGACATTGAACTAGACTTGTGTGAGGAAAAGTCAAGGAAGGTATTCCTGGCTCAAAACTGAGGAAAGGAAAGGGGAAGGGGAGACAGCAGCTTATGATCAGATGGGAAGAGGGTGGTAAACCGGTTCATGGGAGGAATCAGCAGGAGTAAGCACTGTAGCCTGGGAGTTCAGAATGTGCTCTGGGAACATGTATTATTCATTCAGCTATGGCTAGACACAGGAAGCAAAGTGGGACAAGGTCGGGGAGGAGGTGGAGAAGGCTCAGGTTCACTGGATGACATGAAAAGATTTTACTTCATCCTACAGGAAATACAAAGACACGAGGGCTTGGGATTGGGAAGAAACATGATCATTTCTGAGCTCTTTACTAATTGGTCTATTAACCAGCATGACTACAGTAAGAGGGTCCATGCCAAGATTCGCATGCCTATCTGCACCGCCTTGTTACCACTGGGCAAGTTAGGTTATGGCTCTCAGCCTCTGCAGACTGTTGTGAGGATGAGAAATGCAAGTTGACTGTGTTGGGGACTGAGTGGAGCCCTGGGGCCGCCATTCCTCCATCTGGGCCCCTTAGATAGGGAGCAGCTTGGGAATGGGAAGGAGCCACTGCAAATGTTGTTATCCTTATCTATTCATGAAAAGGAAGTGATGGTGGGACTCTTCATGGCGTCTGCCTGGCATCCATTCCCCATAGGGTGATAATGGTGCCCGAGTTTTCTCTGAAGAACCAGCCCTCACACACGGCCTATTCCCGTGTTACACCTGTGCTGGAGGGGCCCTATCTCCAGCTCCAGCAGTAGGCTTTCAGCTCAGGCCCGCCATGCAGATCAGAGCATCTCCCTCCTCTAGGAGTTAGTCGTGTTGGGACCGCAGGACTTTCCTCTGGGATTGCTTTCTCTAGGCTCAGTTAAGCCTGTAGCTGCTGAGGGATGCCATGGGATTGATGCTGACTCCCAGGAGAGCAGAACTGTGAGATAAAGCAGAATGAATGGCTGTCTAGTTACATAGTGTAGTTTCTGGACACAGCTATACCTGGAATTATTAGCACGTGTGTTAGGGAGGGGAGATATGAGCCTGGAAAAAAAATTCCTTTTGCTTTTATTTTTTAAAGGCACTTTCCAGTTCTAGCCGGTTTGGCTCAGTGGATAAAGTGTTGGCCCGTGGACTGAAGGGCCTCGGATTCAATTCCAGTCAAGGGCACCAGGCTCCGTCCCCAGCCCCAGTCCAGACATATGCGGGAGGGCAACCAGTCGATGTCTTCCACATCGATGCTTCTCTCTCCCTGTCTCTCCCCCTCCCACTCTCTCTAAAAATCAATGGAAAAAGTATCCTCCAGTGAGAATTAACAAAAAATAAAATAAAGGCACTTTCTATAGGCAGTGATAGTTTTGTAAAAGTGGGAGTTATCATGTGCACTCAAGACACCTGCTTTATCTCCAGGCCAACACCACTGCCTTAATTTTTAGCATCACTGGTTCTAGTAGAGACTTCTGCAGTAACCTCCTAAATGTTCTCCTTGACTACAGATTTGCCTTCATTCAGCCTTTCTCCCCACCCCGTACTGCCTCCAAAGAGACCTTCTGAAATGTAAATCCCATCATGCTGCTCCTCGGCTTAAAAGCATTCTGACTCCGTGGCCTGGCACATCTGCTTGCCTTCTGTTTCAGCCTCATCTTTTGTCCCTTTCACCATTCACCTTGTTGCAGCTGCCCACGTGTGTGAGGTTCCGTTATGATCTGTGCCTTTCCACATGCTGCCTGAAACACCTGGAATAACCCAGATCCCACCTTCCCTTCACGACCCTGTTCTGCATCTCTTCCACCAAGAAGTGTTTGGACTCTCCCAGGCTGAGTTTGTTGATTCCTTATGCTGCCACTTTGCTCCGTTTATGAGGTCTGTCAGTTTAGGCCTCCCTTTCCTATTTGAATTACAGATATTTTATTCATGTTGTATTCTCTTTTCAGGCACTGATCTAAATTGCATAGATACTACAGGGAGCAAAGTACAAAATTCCTGTGCTCATGGAGCACCTTCTACCAAAGGGAGATCAGACAGTAAACAAATATACTAGTGATATGTGCTCCACAGGAAAATACTGTAGGGTAACGTGCTAGAGAGTGATGGGGTGGTCTTTTACAGATGGTGGTTGGGGAAGTGTCTTTTCTAAGGAACATTGACTGAAGTGAGGTAGCTAGCGAGGCAGAGTGGGGAATAGTGTTCCGAGGTAGAATCAGATACGGTGGAGGAGCACTGTAGAGTTAGTTATAGAGTGGGGAAGGCTCTGAGTTGTACAAAAACGTGGTTTGAATGAATCGATGAATCGGTGACCAGGTAGCTTTGGTGGGCGTTCTCTGAGGCAGGAGTCATTTTTGTGGATTCTTTGTATAGAATTCAGGATAATGCACTACATCTTGCATGGAGAATGTTTACATGGCTTCGCTAATTTCTTTTTCCATTTTGGTCTACCTCTGTTCAGGTTGGTAATTTTTATACTCAGCACACCTGGTCTTAATGGAATGCCTGTATCTTGCTGGTACACTGTGGTTCTGAGGTTTGTTTTTAAAAATCATTTGCTTTCTTACTGTTTGGAGGGAGTGATTCATATGAAATACTCCAGAGAACTCTCTGGAAGAATGTTCTTAGATAAATAATTGGGTTAAATTTAATGAATAAAGATTTCATCTTCTTGGCAACTTTCCTTATAGGTGCTCTACAACAAGCTTAGAGAGTCTTCTCACGTATTTATCACAGTGTTTTTTTCTTGGCTCAACTTACTGCTGTGAGAGACAAAGAGAATTGAGAGGATCCAATTGACCGCTCAGGCTCAGCCTCTCAGAGTGTGTAACTTTCTGTGAAAATACAGCCTTGATAGGGTCATCCTAGTCCAGGACTTTCTTCCAAAACTTGAAGGACTAGAAGTCCTGTTTCTGCTCTTTACCCAGAGATGAGAAAGCTCAGAGGGAATCTAAACCCACTTAAGA